TAATAATATTCTCTGAAAATATATTTAATAATTATAATTAATTTATAATAAGCTATCTATCTGTACAAGAAATCAAAAAAGAATAAAGAATAAAAAAAACTTAACTAGTATATAGAGTGGTTATACCTGTCCGTTATACCTTAACCTAACCTTAACCGTAACCTGACGGTTAGGTTAAGGTATAAGAATCCTCTTAACCGTACGGTTAAGGGTAGGTTACGGTTAAGAGGTTGCTTTAACCGACCTTAACCGCCGGTTAGGAAGGTCAGGTATGCTTGGAAGGTTAATAACTGTAGGTTAATTGGTAATTTATATAGAGTCTTTACAAGAATAATATACCAGTGGTAATATATTTTTAATTACTGTATTATTAGAACAGGTATTAAATTAGTTATTAATTAATAATAATCTGATTTTCTGGCTAGCAGCCAGCAGTCTAGTTGCTTCTGTATTAGGCTTTTACAGATAATACTAGAAATTTGAATATAATTAAATTAGACTACTGGAGAGAAATATATTAATTATTATCTAAATTATTCTTTATATTGTCCTGGTCGGTGGTCATAATAGTGAAGAGATTATATAATTTGAGTATCTATCTGTATCTGGATATATATGATATTACTAGACTAAGAAAGAGCTAGATCTTCTCTTTTTAATAATATTCTATTTTCAGAATTATTATCAAGATTATTTATATTCTTATTCTCATTGATATAGAAGGTTGTTATTAGCTCATTATCTTCTTGATTCTTAGCTGTGAATATAATAGAATTCAGAGAAAGATTATTAAGAATATCCTGATATTTCTTAGTAATGGTAAAGTGATCAGTGCATATCTGGAGTATAAGAACTTTAATAGTCTTGGAATATAGGTGGCTCCGGTAATAATAGCAGATATTCTGAGAATTATTAAAGAGATGTTTAATACTGATACTATTAATTATAACAGTTAAAAAGTCTCTAGCTATGCAGTAGAGAATAGAAAACTGATTATAATAGGACTTCCAGTAGACAAGGATATTAGAGTATCCAGTAGTTTTTAGATGACTGTTAGTATAAATATGATTTTTAATATAATTAATTTATTATTCCAGTCTTTGATGGCCTACATATCTTTAATATTAAGATAGATCTTGAGCTCCTTAAAAGTCACTGTAAAAGGTGAGAGTTTCTGGTGCTTTGAGATATTATAAAAGATCTTATCTAGATCTGAGAGTGTATTAGAGACTGTAGATAATATATTAATAATAGAATTCTGCTAGTAATAAAAATAGAAGATCTTTTCAAAGATAATTTAGTATTTAAAATATTAATCAGTATTATTATCTAGCCAGGTACCCTTCTTGAATTTTTTAAGTTTTAATATAGGGTCTAGAACTGTTGTAATTATATAGATATAGTCTTTGGCCTGATAGATCTAGTAGTAATATTTATAAAGTTTCTGATATATATTTTCTAGATCCTGGAAGATCTCTTTCTTCCAGAATATCTGCTTCTGTACCAGCTGATTAATAGACTAGTTAAGATAATTAAAGAGATTATTATAAATATTATAGATCTTATAAATTATAGATCCACTGTTCTCTGACAAGCAGAAAATAAAAAGAAAAAAGAGATATAAGAGTTCAAACAGATATTCTAACTGCTTCTATTCTATTAAAATAGGATAAAGATGGTTAATATTATTATGATCCCAGTATTAGATAAAGTTCTTAATAACTAGACATAGTTTAATCACATAGCAAAGTATGAGATAGATTAAGTTTTATTAGATTTTATAATCAAGAAGAAGGTAGTATACTGAAGTAGACTCTAATTATTAAGTAAGTTAAAACTTCTCCTAGTATTAGAGACTTATATTTACAAAATATATAATCTTCTGAATCTATAATCAAGAATCAGAGAAGTAAATAAAAAATAATAGATAAAGTATAAGAGTTATCTGCAAAAGCCTTATATAGAATACTCTAGAAATTATCTGTAAAAATCTTATATACTCTATCTCATGGTCCATGGAAGTCCTTTTCAACTAGAGTCTTGATTAATTCTGACTCCAGAAGCTTTTTTCAACCGGAGCCAAGCCTTGATTCTGACTCCGGGAGTCCTTTTTGACTGGAGCTGAGTCTTGATTCTAGCTCTAATTAAAAAGGGCTCCCAGAGTCAGAATTAATTAAGACTCCAGTTGAAAAGGGCTCTCATGGACTGTGGGATAAAATATATAAGATTTTTATAAATAACTCCTAGAGTATTCTATATAAGATTTTTATAGATGACTTCTAGAGAATCCTGCAGAAGCCTTTTATAGATAGCTCTTATTATATACCTTCTTAATTATCCGGGAGATACCAGAAGAGATCTCTAGTTTCTTATTATTATTTTTCTATATATATTTAACAGTTTTATTAACAGTCTTAATTCAGAGTTTCTGAAGAAAGATATTAACAGAAAACTGAATAACATGAGCCAGATAGAGAATGTAATACTAGCTTTAAATAATCTTTATAAAATCAGAGTTTACTAAAATATTATAAAGATAGATATTCTGGCTAAGTTAAGTCCAGAATTCTAATATAATAATATTAAATATAATACTATTATTACTAGTATTATCAATAGTCATATCCAACAGCTAGTGGATAAGATAGTGCTTTTACAAGATTTTTAAGATAATCTTAACCAGATTCTTATTAATATAGAATCCAGATACTGGTCAGAAGTCTAACAGAATCTTATAGTAATCTATATTCTTTGTTAGAAAGTATCCAGTCAAAGTAAGAAATACTTTTTAATCTGGACTAGTTTAATAGTTAACCATAATTAACATGCGCCTGCTGTCTGAAAACTTTGATAATAACTAGATATATATTTTCTTTAATAGCTTCAAGAGATATTCTTTAATCTATATCTGATAGAGAAGAGTAGGTATTTAGAAGAATACTAAAGCAGTAAAATTAATTATTTATTTAAATTAAATATATTTAATAATGTGAAACAGCAGGCAGCAGGTAATAAGAAAGTATAGTACTTAATTAAGAAAGTTTCTTTTATTATAAATAATAGAAGTCTAGAGATAGTATAACAGATATTAGTAATAATAACCTGCTGGAGGGTCTACTTATAGAAATATTATTAATAATTATATACCTGTAATAATCCTTTCTCCAGCATCTGTTTAATAGTTTGCTTGAAGATATACTGGAATATTTATTTCTTATAGTTCTTGTAAAGATGGTAGTTTATAGAACTAGTTCTAAAGTTATTAACTGCTGGATATTATAGAATATATGAGTATATAATACAGGAAATATAAGAAATATTATTAGAAAATAATATATCTTCTTGAAAGCAAGCCTATATTATTATTATCTTTTCTTAAATAAAGTGAAAGAATGGCTTCTGGTTTTATATATAAGTCTGGCTAAAAGCAGTTATCTTTTATTAATTATAAAAAATAAGAGTCTTTTCCAGGAGAGCTGGATATAAGATGATTTTCTGATGCCTTGTAATATACTTGATATTAAGATTTAAAAAAGAAAAGATAATATAAACTGAAAAACTACTCTCTATCTGGCTATTATCATGATTTATAAAGATCTGTGAGATAGAGAAAGAGAATTTAATAATATTTTCTGAAAATAGATTTAAGAGTTATAATTAATTTATAATAGGCTATCCATCTGTACAAGGAATCAAAGAAAATAAAGAATAAGAAAAACTTAACTAGCATAATATTGTTTTACTCCTAAACATATATTAATATAAATATGATCTATTATATTTACATGTATTAGAGATATTTAATAATAATAAGTTTTTATTAGAGGCACCTTCTAATCTTATCTATGGATGAGAGTTTGCAGCATCTAATAACTGTTATATAGAATATCTCTGATATAGTAAATAATCAGGTTTAATCAAGTAATATAAGAAGAAGTTCTATAAAGATATTCTATGATTATCATGATAATATTATTAATAGAGTTTATAAAAGTCTTTTACAGATCTTACTTAGAGAATACTACCTGAGTCTTTATATTTATAATTAATAGGTTACAGGAAGTACAGATTTCCAGATAGACTAAGTAGGCAGAGTTATATGGAACATTATAATTAAATAATATAGATAATTTGCAGTTTTTAGACTTATTATGAATGCTTGGACGGTATTTTAAGTATATAAAAAGAATAGTAAATTTATTTATTATTATATAAGATAATTTTCAGAGAGATTTACCAGCCTGGGGAGGTGGTTTGGGGGATATTAATAATCTACTAACAGTATATAGCTAAAATAGAGCTGTAAATATATATATTTACTATTATTTTATACTGTAAGAGCAGTTTTTTTTTATAAACTCAATTATCATCACCACCCGAGGTAATATCAGGTTAAATAGATAAGGATAAGATAGAGTATGCTGTTTTTTTTCTTCTGATTATTTTTAAAATCAAGAAGATTAGTCTTGCGTTGGTTATTAGCAAAGGTATAAATAGTCAGGATAGATAATTATTAACCTGAGTATATCTTACCCGTGCTAAGGCCTAAAAGAGTATAGCAGGTAGGTCTTGGTACCAAGGATGGTTAAGACGGTTAACTGTCCCATTTTTGGCTGTTCCGCGGTTAGGTATAAGGAAATCTTATACTTAACTGTTAACCTGACGGCAGGTATAAATTTTTCCATTAACCTACCCTACCCTGGCCGTTAACCACTCTACTAGTATAATATTATTTTACTTTTAAATATATATTAATATAAATATAATTTATCATATTTACACGTATTAGAGATATCTAATAATAATAAGTTTTTATTAAAAATATTTTCTAATCTTATTTACGGGTGAGAGTTTGCAGTATCCAGTAACTATTATATAAAATATTTTTAATATAATAAATAATTAGGTTTTATTAAGTAATATAAGAAGAAGTTCTATAAAAATATTTTATAATTATTATAATAATATTATTAATAAAATCTGTAAAAGCCTTTTACAGATCTTACTTAGAGAATACTACCTGAGTTTTTATATTTATAATTAATAAATTATAGAAAGTATAGATTTTTAGATAAACTAAGTAAGCAGAATTATATAGAATATTATAATTAAATAATACAGATAATTTATAATTTTTAAATTTATTATAAATACTTAAACAGCATTTTAAGTATATAAAAAGAATAATAAGTTTATTTATTATTATATAAAATAATTTTCAGAGAGGTTTACTAGCCTGAAAAAGTAATTTAAAGAATATTAATAATTTATTAATAATATATAGCTAAAATAAAGCTGTAAATATATATATTTATTATTATTTTATATTATAAAAACAGCTTTTTTCTATTTGATTATCACTACCTGAGATAATATCAGATTAAATAAATAAAAATAAAATAAAATATATTATTTTCTTTCTTCTAACCATTTTTAGAATTAAGAAGATTAGTCTTGCGTAGAGTGGTTAACGGCCAGGGTAGAATAGGTTAATGGAAAAATTTATACCTGCTGTCAAGTTAATAATTAGATATAAGATTTTCTTATATCTAACTGTAGAATAGTTAAAAATAAAATAATTAATTATTTTAATTATTCTTAATATTAAGATTTATTTATTATATTTTTTTAGATCTTAGTACAGGTAAAATATACTTAGATTAATAATTATTTATTTTAATTATTTATATTTTTATTAATAACTAATATAAGACTAATTTTCTTAATTTTAAAAATAATTAGAAAAAAGAAAATAATATATTCTATTCTATTCTTATCTATTTAACCTGATATTATCTCAGGTAGTAATAATAATTAAATTTATAGAAAAAAGCTGCTCTTACAGTATAAAATAATAATAAATATATATATTTATAGCTCTGTTTTAGTTATATATTATTAATAAATTATTAATATCTTTTAAATTATT